ATGTCACCAGCCTTGAGCTAGGATTACCTGAACCAGACGATTCCTTCATTCTGTCCCATTCAGCTGAAACTAAGGAGATGAGACAGGGGCTGTCTTCACCTCATTATGTGTAGAAGCATGGCCTCACTGACCCATTGTACTCGGACAACCATAGAACCTCAAACACACACCAACGCCTTGTATTCTGGTCAAACTAGGAAACATCACATCTATGTTTTATGCAAGATCTTTTATCCTCTCTTGATTCAAATTTGGATTCTACAAGGTTTCTTTTTCCAAAGTTATTTTGTCATTCCTTTTGTGTAAAGCAAGATGTGTTTTTGAAGCTGCAGATTGTTTAGGTGTTTAAAAGTTCTGGAACTTGGCTGGGTATGTTATGCTTCAGTTAGTAAATCAGTAAAAGTCTTAAAACTAATTTTATGACACGAAAAGAGGTAGCCTTTTTGTCTGCTAGTGTTAACTATTAGTTGATGTGAAATTCATAGAGTGATTTACATCTTTTTGAGCAGGTGAAACCTATTGAGAGATGTTGATGCATTTTGCCTGTAACTTCGTTTCTTTGCAAACTTGTTCTCTTCTCATACAGGACTGTGTCTCGAGAAGAGGGTTTTCTACAGATTGATCTCAGGACTCCACAGCAGCATCAACATTCACCTCTGTGCAAAACACCTTCTAGATGGTAAGTGGACGGCAAAAACATTTTCTTTTTTGTTCGGATGAATTGCATCAGCACATGGAAGAGCTTTTTTTGTTCTTTACTGTGCTGTTTTGTGTGTTGCAGAGGGCTGGGGTAAGACTGTCTGGGGACCAAATGTGAAGGAGTTCCACCATCGGTTCGATCCTGCCGAAACCAAGGGAGAGGGTCCGAGGAGGCTGAAAAACTTGTACTTCCTGTATTTAATCGAGCTGCGGGCGCTGTCCAAAGTTGCACCATACTTTGAGCGTTCGATTGTCAACCTGTACACAGGAAACGCCCAGGAAGACACTGAGACAAAGGACCTGTTGTTGCAGATCCTCAATGAAACGAAGTAAGGAACGAGCTTATCACTTGTCGTCATCACAATACACACTCCGTGTGCAGCTGTAATTAAGGGGAAACTAGTTTAAGCCATTGATAGTCTATTGTGATGTTTCTTTGCTTTTCAGTTCTCTTATTTTAAGTCTCACATGTTGCACCACAGAGTAGTGCCAGTGTGCCCTTCTTGTTTAAGAATACGGAAGTGCATTGAATGTTGTTACACTATGCTAGATTCTGGAGGGATGACTGGCCACTGTTACTAATTATCTTTCAACAGAGCTTTCCCCATGCACTTTGATGAGAAGTCCATGTTTGCAGGAGACAAAATGGAAGCAAAGACGCTCAAGGTAAGTTTATTCAGTCCTCGGCATCGAGAAATGAAGTCTAGTCACGGAGCAGTCAGAAAGGGCTGTCAGGTGCCAGGCAGCAGTGAGGTTGAGTCGGAGCATTGATGGTGTGTTTGCATCACTCACCTGTTTAAACCCTCTGAACATTCCCTCCTAATGCAGCACAAGCAGAGTATTCATGTTCATCAGAAACCTCTGTTGCTGACGGAGTTTAGACGAAAATAAAAACCAAGAAGGGCACAGAAATGGTTTTAATTAATCTCCCTGCTGTTTCTCTGTTCTCTGACCCCAGGACAGACAC